CACACACACACACACACACACACACACACACACACACACACACACACACACACACACAAACACACACACACAAACACACACACACACACTTACACATTGACACAGAGAATAATGTGGTCAAGACAGAAAGGGATTAAAGGACAAGAAACGGGGATCTGGGATTAACTGTTTCATATATATATGGAGTTCATTTTGATGATGGAACGGAGAGCAATCACCTCCCTCCCCCATCTAGAAGTCCACTACCACTTTTGATTGCTTGCAATCTGATGACACCGCTTCGCTTATCCCCACTCGATTCCAATTGCAAGCCGACGAGAGTGAAAGATAAACTAACCTTCTTCATCCTCATAAACTTCTTCTACTTTCACCTCTCCGCTCTTGAAATCGAACATGCACAGACTTCCATAACTGTCCTGCCACACACACAGTTGCACAGCAATGAGCAATTTGGGAAAAGAATCACAAAAATGTGATGACGTGCAAAATCAAGGACTGAGAACTCTGCTGATTTCTGAGTTTTGCCGCTGGAATTTGCGACTTGCTGAGTTTCCTCCTCTTTTTTTTTTTTTCGTTTTACTAGGGGATTTGCCCGGTATTGTTAAATGTCGGACAATCTCCTGTAAACATTTTCAAATTCGACAACTTGACAAGGCTAATGTATTTGCCAAAAAGTTATTCGGACCAACCTATGACCAAGAAGTTAATTTTTTTTAAAGATCGGACGCTTATGACATTCCGTGAGAGAATGGGGAAAACCGGTGGTGTGGCCGGTTATATTCCACTTCTGGCGAGGTCGCTGGGGTATTTGGCTGTAGGAATGCTAAAGTCTAACTCCCATCCTAGTGAAGCAGCTGCGCGATTCACAGGCTAATGGGCTAACAGGGACCTCCGCGCCAGGGTGTGCCGCCGCTGTAAGGGTTGAATAAGCATGCGGCTGTCAGGACTGCGACTCAGCTAATCCGAGAGAAGGCTCCACCCGACCTTGGTATTTTTTCATTGAGGCCGAGCGCGAGTCAGCTGCGGGATGGTGAAAGCAGGGCTCCTGGCCAGGATGATCGGAGCCCAGCCAATTGAACGGGGAAGGAGTTGGCCTGCCAACAGGCCTGAACCACTGAGCCTGCTGGGCCTCGTTGAGGGTGGCCTGGTGAGTGGGCAAGCTCTTCTTATAGAAGAGCTGCCCCTCTCATGCCATGATAGCCATAGGAGCTAGTCCAGAAGGTAACCCATTAGCCTTACATTCCACAACTGCGGGGATCGAAGCCAGTAGGCCCCACTGGGCTAGCTCCTTTTGGGAGTGGCTGTGGGGGAAAGCAGTCCGGCACAGCCAATTTCAGATGTGCGATCAAGGAGATTGTGCGGCTGAAACCAGCCGCGCGGAATAGCAAGGTGCCTGCAAAGGTCCAGATCTTTTCTGCGTTTTTAAGTTCGATGGAATCGAACTCGGGTCTGTGTCTCAATAATTCGTGGCTAAAAAGCCACGAGACTGAATTGTCCGTTGGTTTAAGCCAACCGGGAAAACAAAAAGAAAAAAAAGGGGGAGAATAAAAGCAAAGACAAAAGACTTGGCGCCATGCTGCATTCTCTGTAGCTCCCCGCACACCTGTCAGGCACCCGTTTTTACGGGCGTCAGGTTCATTTTTTCAGAAAGCTTTTGTTTTTGTTTTGTTTTTCTAATTTTTTTTGTTGGTTTTTTTGCTTTATGGCAGTGTATGCCCACCCCCCCATTTTTTTTTCAGTCAAGAGGAGGGGAAACAGCAAGTATGGCGGTGTATCTTTCCATGTTCAAGCACGGGATTCATTCCCATTTTGCGAATTGGTTAGTGGAGGGGTGAGGTCCGTTTTCGTGAGGTTGCCCCCAGCCCCGCCGCACCCTGATTGCATTTGAATTCAAAGTTGAGTGTGTATTCTGGTGGTTCGTGGGTTCCCAACCGCACCATGAAGTGCCGTGCCTTGTTGGCATGGTCTGGAGGTAGAGGAGACAGGCAGCAGCTAGGATGTAAGCATCCCCCCCGCATCTGGATTCAAACTTGGGCCTGTATTTCAACAGTTTGTGGTGGGCCTGTATTTCAATAGTTTGTGGGGTGCGAACTGCCCCACTAGGAATGCCCCCATTGGCCTGGTTGCAGCTGGTTGGAACTTGTCTGTGTTTCAACAGTTCATGGGGTGCCAACAGCCCCTACTGGCAAGACCCTGCCTTGCTGGCAGGGAAATGCAAAAAAAAAAAGGAAAAAAAAGAAAAAAAGATCAAGGGGAAGAAGAAACAGAGAAAAAAATCGGGATCAAAAATTTAAAGAGCTCATATTTTCGAATTTGCGCCTATCATTTTTTGAGTGCCAAAATTATTTTTCTTGGCGCTGAAACCTTTTCTGTGCGTAGGTGGGCACATATCCCGCGTACTCAAAATTTTTAAGATTTTTTTATTCAGTGACTTTTTAATTAAAAATCTACAAAGTCGGGGTACTTATGGTGTCCCCCTCCCTTGATCATAGCGGGGCTGCCACAAGTTGTCCCCCTTTTTTTACTTGCTCGCCTTGCCGTGTGAGCAGGAGGGGGAAAGAGTGGGGATGGGTCCCAAAGTGACGAGCTGCAGCTGAGTGCAGCCTAAAAGAAAAGAAAAAGAAGAAAAAAAAGAGGAAAAAAGAGAGAGGATGGAAAGCAACGAGGTAAGTGTTTTCTTCTTCTCTTCTTGTTCTTTTGTTCCTTTTCTTTTTCTTCTTTTTGTTGGTTCCCCTTGATTCTGGCTGTGCTTTCAGCCAGATTCGTCTGCCCCTTCTGAATGAGCAGTGGGAAGGAATAGTAGAGGAGGAGCATGAAGATGGCCGCTAGACTACGGAAGGTGCGGCACGACAGCATCATTATTTTTCTGAGGGGAGACGCTGCTGAATTTTTTCGGCAGCGGCCCGTCGACGAGGAGCTTTGACGCGGAACGCTGCTGGATTGTCACTGCGACGTCAAGGCCCTCCTTAGGGGAGATGCTGTTGAATTGTCGCCATGACGTGAAGGCCTTCCTAAGGGAAGGTGTTGCTGAAGTCGGTTGCATCGAGGTTATTATCAGCGCCACCTTCCCTTTGGTTGTTCAATAAAGTACTTGTTTATTGAGTTCAACCCGAAGTGGTCAGTTTTTATTTTGTGTTACTGGCTCTATCATCTGATGCTCGTGAATTCAGTTATTGTTCCAACTCATGTTGGATTCAGATGTGTTTTCCTATCGACTAATGGTGGATTCATTTCGGTATAAATATATTTGATCATGATAATTTTTTATTTTTTCTTAGTTTTGCATCTAAGGGACTAGGATTACTCGTGGGTTTCAGGCTTGGTTGAGACCGTCCTAGTTGACCAGTGTCCGCTTCGTACTTAGGAGGTCAGCACCCCAAGGGACGGACGATGTCCGGGTTCAAATGGCGTTTTAACCACACGTGCCTGTATTGTAGCGAAGCGAGCAAATGCTCTCGGATGACCTACCTCTGCACTTGCATTTAAAAGCTTTCGCACGTGGGTCAGTAACTCGGTAGGGATACACCCCTAAGGGTGGTGACACCCCCTTAGGGAAGGTAAGTTGTGCCTCGCGGGAACCTATTTTGTCGTAGGGGACTGCAGGAGGTACGGCTGCCGCACCCGGCTAGAGCGGCGAAGGGGCGGCGCAACCACACCCGTCTCGACGGTTCGCAGGGTTATTTCTCGTTGTGCCCAAGTTGTCTCTTGTTTTGTTTTTCTAACTCCTGTGTGACATGGCCGAGAGGGCTCTCACCTTTTGCGAAAAAAAAGCAGAAGTCGATGCGATCGACAGCGGGATAGCTACATATATGTATTTTTGTCTCAAATTTTCCTCACATATAGGCACAATTCTCAGCATGGGACGCTAAGGGTTATAGGGGTTGGATTCCCGACCCGCTTTCTAAGTCAATGTGTGTCCTTGCTTGCTAGTTTTTGTGTGCTTGTCTGAGTGCATGTCTGCCTGAGTGTGCGTGTGTAACTGGCCATGGTACTTGTATGCTTGGAAGGCCCTCAGGCCTGGTACTTGCCTGTGGTCGTGCTTTTGTGGGGTTGCCGCGGGGAGGTAGCGGTAAGCTAGGCCCTCACTCAACTAGCGGTAGGCTAGGCCCATGTAGCTTAGAAAACACTTGAATAGCGGTAGGTAGGCAGAAGAAGACAAAACGTTAGTACCGTTAGAGGCCGAGTGAATTTCACGAGTCGAGTGGGCTTAGGTCCAAGGGTACAATTCGAGTAGTCTGAGTCTAGGGCCTGTAGCGGATGATATCCGACCTGCAATGATGTTTCCGTCCCTGCGAAAGGAGGAAGGTACCGGATGCTCAGGAGGCCGAGCAGCCTAGAAAGTCACCACCCGAAGGAGCAGCTGCCCGGTATATGTTCAGGAAGAGCAATGAGTTCTTCCTCATTTTGCGGTGCGCAAGTTCGGCGTCACACTATTGGAGCGAGTGTTGGGAAGTCCAACGTTGGGGAGGAAGAAGGCGGACTTATCCGCCCACTTTGGCTATGGTGGAGCGGGCCAAGGAGAAAGCCTCCGGGGTACAGGAGGAGGAAGAGAGTGAGCAAGGATGAGAGTGGCGGGGGTGCTTACCTGGCTATGGTGGACAGCATCTTCATCTTCTTGGTCAGTGACTGCACCCCCAGTGGGGTGTGCTGCTTCAAGGAAGACTTGAGGGCAGTGTTAAGCCATGGCGCCTCTAGCTTTGCATTTTCCTTTGAACATCGGGGCAAGGCCCCACTTGTCCACCATAGCCATCTACCATAGACGAGGAGGAAGAGCGTGTAGGTCGTGGCTATGGTGGACCTCATGTGTTGCTAGCAGCAAGGAGGAGATTCGGACATTCGTTCTGATTCATTCTTTCATCATCGTTATTCTGAAACTTGTCGCCTCAAGAAAACGAGACCGAAATGTAAAACGCCGCACCGGCCGTTGATAAATTAGATCGGCGGTCGCCGTTTCGTTTCACGCCTCCAGAATTTGAGGTGTCAGGCCCGCGGCCCAGGCGCACATGTACTGGTGCTTTAACAGAGGAAAAGCAAAAGTTATTTCACTATAGCAGTTTTGGGACCACCCTCACCCCCGCTACACCCCCCCCCCCCCCACAAAAAAAAAAAGAGAAAAACAAAGAACGAATAGTCAAAGAAGGGCCCCCTGTTCGCTTCCTAAATAGTACCACCCCTCAGTCATTTCCACAAAATAGAACATAGTACCCTTGGGCTGAACAACTTTTGCCTCCAGGTCACATCAAAATTCTTTATAGATTTCGAAATACAAAAATATATAAAATATATAAAAAATATATAATAATTTAAATATATAAATATAAAAAATATATAAAAATTGAAAAATTAAAAAAAATATATACATATATATATCGTCAAATAGAATATAACATATATATATATATATTTTTTAATTTGGACCATTTCTCGATTTATGAGTGTCATCCTTGCGCAGGGGCCATGCTAATCTTCTCTGTATCATTCCAATTTTAACGGATGTCCCGAAGGACAAAAAA